ACCGTTTCAAGTGGGGCCCAGCATCCCAGCAGATCCTGTTCCAGGCCTATGAGAGGCAGAAGAACCCCAGCAAGGAGGAGCGAGAGACCTTGGTGGAGGAGTGCAACAGGTGGAGTGGCGGTGGGGGTGGGGCTGCCTGGAGCGGGGCTGGGCAAGGCCAGGAAGGTAACTCTGGATCTCAGGAGGGCTCCCCAGTTCTTGAGAGCTCCTGCTGTCAATGAATGTGGCTTGGCCCAAAGAGTTGTGGGGACTCACAGCTGCTCAGTGTCTTGAACCTCATTCTATTCCTAGTGTTCTCCACCCACCAAGCAGCCCTTTGGGTGAATATTCACCTCATTCCAACCTCTCCACAACCCCATGGCTGTTTTGCTCATATGATAACTGAGGTCAGAGAGGCTAAGTCACTTGCCCAAAGTCACACAACAGAATTGGTATTAGAATCCAGATCTGCCAGCCCCCAATACTCAGGTAGAGCTCAAACTTCTCAGGACCTTCCCCAGGAGAGGGCTCCTCTGTGCCCAGCCTGGAGGCTCATGGGTGGCCATTTCTGCAGGGCGGAGTGCATCCAGAGGGGAGTGTCACCGTCGCAGGCACAGGGGCTGGGTTCCAACCTTGTCACGGAGGTGCGTGTCTACAATTGGTTTGCCAACCGGCGCAAAGAAGAAGCCTTTCGGCACAAGCTGGCCATGGACACGTACAGTGGGCCCCCATCGGGGCCAGGCCCAGGACCCGCGCTGCCTGCCCACAGCTCCCCTGGCCTGCCCCCACCTGCCCTCTCCCCCAGTAAGGTCCACGGTGAGTGCTATCTTGGGGGGTAGATTGGGACAGCAGGTAAAGGGGCAAGTGGGTGGGCTGCCCCAGTGGCAGTAGACACCCAAACCTCTGAGCACTTGTTGGTTCTACTTTATAAGCCCATCCTGCTCCCTCCCCCACACGTACTCCATGGACTCGTCCAGCCTATCCCACCCTCCCCTGTCCTCTTCACCCATGTCCAGTTATTGTCCCGCTCCATCAGAGCTGACCACTCCACCTCACTCTTCAATTCCACTGAACCTGACTGGGGTCACCTCAGTGGACCACAGTCACCTCAGATCCATTGACTCAAACCCTGTTAGTTCCACTGAATCCAATTCGGTTCCCTTCAATTGTGTTCAGGACAGTTTAGCTCACTTAAGGTTGGCCTCGCTCAACCTCGCTCAACCCACTCAATGCACTCAGTTTAACTAGGTGAAGTTCAAGGCGATTTGCTTTAATTTTAAATTTGCTTAATTCAGGGCTGGGGATGTGGCTCAAGCGGTAGCGCGCTCTCCTGGCATGTGTGCGGCCCGGGTTCGATCCTTAGCACCACATACAAGCAAAGATGTTGTGTCCGCCGAAAACTAAAAAATGAATATTAAAATTCTCTCTCTCTTTAAAAAAAAAATTTGCTTAATTCAATGTAATCCAATTCAGTTTGGCTTCATTCACTTAATCGAGCTTAGCTCATTTTCGTTCAGCTTAACTAGATACAATTTAATTCAGCCAGTTCCAGTTCATTCCATTCAGTTCCCTTCAGTTTACCGCCACTAGCTCCAATTCAGCTCAGGTCCATTCTCTTTTATTGAGCACCTACTGCATGCCAGGGATAGAACTAGGCAGCGGGCGACATGAAGCTGCAAGCACAGGCCGGGGCCTGGCCCCAGGTGACGCTCAGCAGTTTGCTGCTGCAGGAGGAAAGATGGGTCAGCTGACCTGAGCCAAGCCATGGAGTGACGAGGTCTGTGAGGCAGGAGGGGACAGGGAGGGTGCTGAGGCTGGACACTGTCCCCACTCCAGGCGTGTGCTATGGACAGCCTGCAACCAGTGAGGCAGCCGAGGTGCCCTCGAGCAGCGGTGGTCCCCTAGTGACAGTGTCCACCCCTTTGCACCAAGTGTCCCCCACAGGCCTGGAGCCCAGCCACAGCCTGCTGAGCACTGAAGCCAAGCTGGTGAGTGTCCTGACCTGTGGCGGAAACCTTTCCAACCCCACTTTCCTTTGGCTGGGAGACCGGGGTGGTCCTCTGGGAGGCTGTTTGGGCCCTTCCCTGACTCGGCCTGACTCTCCTTGGCAGGTCTCAGCCACTGGGGGCCCCCTGCCACCTGTCAGCACGCTGACAGCACTGCACAGCTTGGAGCAGACGTCGCCGGGCCTCAACCAGCAGCCCCAGAACCTCATCATGGCCTCGCTCCCTGGGGTCATGACCATTGGGCCCGGGGAGCCTGCCTCCCTGGGCTCCACGTTCACCAACACAGGCGCCTCCACCCTGGTCATTGGTAAGCTGGCGGGAGGGTGGGCACCTGGGTGGCTGCTGTAAGTCCCCTGCAGAATCTAAGGGGTCATTCATTCATTTGTTCCCACCTACAACACACACTGTCTTTTCTTGTCTTTCTGTTTTTGGGGATTGAACCCAGGGCCGCTGAACCATGGAGCCACATCCCCAGCCCTTTTTATATTTTATTTAGAGACAGGGTCTTGCTGAGGTGCTTAGGGCTGTGCTAAGTTGCTGAGGCTGGCCTTGAACTCACGATCCTCTTGCCTCAGCCTCCCAAGCTACTGAGATGACAGGTGTGCGCCACAGCGCCCAGTGCAACATGCATTTTCTGAGTGCACAAAGGAACCAAATCAACCCAAATCTCAGAGAGCCCAGTGTGGAAGGCAATGAGCACAACACGAAATCATATAATACCTCAGATAAAAAGGTGGGGAAATAGCACAGGGTGAGGGGGGGCCATGGATACTTCCTATTTTTTTTAAAGCCCAGAAAGCCTTCATTCGCAGAAATTAGTATGCAAATACACAACAAGATAGAGAGGGGCTGCTGGGAGGGGGCAGCAGGAGCTGAGCCCAGGAGCGCTGCTCTGCTGGGGAACACCGGGGTTCCAGGGCACCCAGTCTGACAACCAGGGAAAGGGTCGTCGCCCTCCTCTTCATCAGCTCACGGGAGCTAAAGGCTCAGAGAGGGGGACTCGCCAGGATCGTGTAAGTTCCTGGTGGTCCAGTGCAAGCTGCTTCCTGACTGCCCCACCCTCCCCTCTTTTCATCCGGGGCTCTGGGTAGGGGGATGGTGCCTCAGGGGATCTGGGCAGAGTCAGGGGACTTTGGGGTGGTGGCTCAGCTGACTCCACCCTCTTGCCCCAGGCCTGGCCTCCACTCAGGCACAGAGTGTGCCGGTCATCAACAGCATGGGCAGCAGCCTGACCACCCTGCAGCCGGTCCAGTTCTCGCAGCCGCTGCACCCTTCCTACCAGCAGCCTCTCATGTCACCCGTGCAGAGCCACGTGGCCCAGAGTCCCTTCATGGCCACCATGGCCCAACTGCAGGGTCCTCACGGTGAGAGCCCTTGCCCTGGGCTGGGGCAGGTTGGCCGTGCTGGGGGGCAAGGGAAGCAGCAGCGTGGCACATGCCGTGTCTGGTGTGGGTACGAACGCTTTGGGGACAGGGCAGCTGCAGATCACCTTATGTCTCCACGCGTGAACACTCATGGGCGAGTGCACATGTGCGGCTGGAGGCTGCATTTCAGTGTGCTCTATGTGTTTAGAGGCTGTGCGTCCCCGGGGGGGCGGGTGCGGGGGGCCCAGGCCACAGCCCTTTCTCTGGAAGCCTGGAGTCTGCTGGTTGTGACTTTAGAAGGGTAGCTAGGTGGAAATGCCACGTGTCACACACTGTTCCCATCCTGTCATCAAGGGGGTCTCTGCAGCAGTCCCATGAAGCAGGTTGGAGATTCACGTAACTGGTAGCTGGGTTTTGTGTGTGGGGGTTGCCATCAAATGAGCTCTGGGCCACACCATGGGAACCTCTGGGCTGCAGACCTCTTTGGAATGAGGGATTGGGATAAGGGCTGTAGATCCCTGTGTGTGTGTGTGCATGTGTGCACACAGAGTTCAAAGTGTACATCTTTGTATGCCTGTGATGTCAGGCTTCATCTGAGTCCCTCAGAAGTGTCTGTGCTGAGGGGACACACTGGGTGTTGGAGAGGTGTCATGCAGATGGAGGCATTACTGTCCTCTGCCCTGCTCACCTGGATGGAGCCACCTGCCTTCTCTTCTGAGGCCTGCACTTATGCAACAACACCTGTGCTTAGTACTGTGGTGCTTGTGCTTAGTACAATTGCACCTGCATCGTCCCTTCCCTTTCATGCCTGTGGTCTCCAGGTGGTATGAGGAACTGGAATTGGTCGCTGGCCTTCCCCAGGTTCCTCCCCATCAATTCCAGCTGAACAGGTCTGGGGAAAGAAGAAGGCCCCCCTCCTGCCAGGGGCTGGGCATTCAGAAGGCCTCATGACCCCTTCCCCCGGAGCCTGTTTTGAGGCCTCCCAGGGGAGCTCCGGGGTGCCATGTCTGTATCCTCTTTTGCTCCGTCTGTCCCCACCAGCTCTCTACAGCCACAAGCCCGAGGTGGCCCAGTACACCCACACAGGCCTGCTTCCACAGACCATGCTCATCACCGACACCACCAACCTCAGTGCCCTCGCCAGCCTCACGCCCACCAAGCAGGTAAGGCACTGGCCTGTCTGGCCGTCCTGTGGCCTGTCCCAGAGCCTCTTGCTCCATGTACCAGGGCTCAGGGGACTACTCTGGGCCCCCAGGTCTTCGCCTCAGACACTGATGCCTCCAGTGAGTCTGGGCTTCACGCGCCAGCCTCTCCAGCCACCACCATCCACATCCCCAGCCAGGACCCTGCCAGCATCCAGCACCTGCAGCCTGCCCACAGGCTCAGTGCCAGCCCCACAGGTGAGTGGCGCTTGTCCCGTCCCTGCCCTGCTGTCCCTGAGTCGGGGCATGGGGTGGGGTGTGCACAGAGGCAGGTGGGGGGCTAGTGTCCCAAACACGGCCTGGGAATCCAGAGTGCACCAGGAGTGTGCCCGGTCACAGGGAAACGGGGCCGAACTTATAGGACTAGGGATTGACTCAGTTAAGGACAAGACACGGCTCTGGAGAGGATGAGGAGCGAACTGGGCTGTGGACCAGAAGGGACTCGGATGTGTTTGGCTTGGCTCAGCTTTTAATATTGTTCGAATTAATGGGCAACATTTAAAAATCTGGAGTTTTCACAGAGGAATCTGGCGTTCTGGTTTCTCCTGGGGAACTGGGAGTCCATGTTCCGTCTCCCCAGTACAGGGTGTGCCTTCTGGCCACTCTGACCCCACCCTGGTGACCCTGGTGGCCCCTGCCTGCAACCTGTGGGGTTAGGAACAGGCGCCTGGGAGTCAGGCTGCTGGGCACTGGGGCTTGGGCGGCCATCAGGACCCCTGAGTTTAGGAGCTGCCCTCCCCGGAGGTCCTAGGTCCCCCAGCCCCGAGGGCTAGGCATTCTCAAGGGCACTCCATGCTCCAGCTCCTGCTCTACCCCATGGGGCATGTGCCTTATCCTCATTTTACAGAGGAGGAAGTGGACACTCGAGGTGATGGACCTGTCTCATCTACTGGGTGGCAGAGCCAGGACATGAACCCAGGTCCAACCCCAAAGCCCGTTCTCTCACCCCCATCCACCGGTCAGGGTTCCCCCAAGGCACAGGCCCAACAGGAAGCGCACTACATACGGGGAGAATTACTTTAGGGTTTGTGGAATTGTGGGGCTGGCAAGTGTCCTCTGTGGCTGGTCACTCAGAATTAATGTCTTGAGGCAGAATAACCTCTTCTTTGGTAAACTTCAGCTTTTGCTCTTCAGGTCTGAGGCTGATTAGCTGAGGCCCACCCACACGATCAGGGCAACCCCTCTTTAGCAGCCAGCTGACCCTAGACCTTAGCCACATCCGCGAAAGGCCTTCCTAGAAACAAAATCAGCCTGGTTCAGCTGGCTGAGCTGACTGCAGCTCCCATGCCATCTCGCCTGACCTCTGTAGTGTTCCCACTAACATGTCCTGAGGAGGCCACGTTCTGGGTGGCTCCAGGTAGAGGCCTGGCACTGGGTTTCTGGAACCTCGGAGGCCCTGCCTCTCCTGCCTTTGGGGGAGGTGTGGGGTGGGCCCGGGGTGTGGCCGGCAGCCAGCAGCCTCCCTTGCCCCCGCAGTGTCCGCCAGCAGCCTGGTGCTGTATCAGAGCTCCGACTCCACCAACGGCCACGGCCACCTGCTGCCATCCAACCACGGCGTCATTGAGACCTTCATCTCCACACAGATGGCCTCCTCCTCCCAGTGACCGTGGCAACTTCCTACCAGGGGCTGGGCCCTGGAGCCTGCACTGCCTGCCTGGGGGGTGACGAAGGCAGCAGTCACCACCACCGGGAGCACCTCTGAGCCTGCCACAGGGCTGCTGCCTCCCCTCAGTCCCCACCTCTCCCTCTGCCAGCATTGGAAAGGTACGGTTCTGAGGAGCCTCAACCCGAGGAGATTGTCACTTGCCTAAGAGGGGACTGTGGAGAGCGGGAAGCAGAGCTTGTTCTTGGCGGGACCCTGGAGGGACCACCTGTCTGCCGAAGTTGAAACTTGTTACTTGGAAGAGAAAGGGGCAGCCTTGGGCTCCTGAGCCCCCAACGCGGGCCTGAGGACAGCCCTGGGACTCAAGGGGCTCGGGCAGCCACCTTCTCATGGCACAAGCCTGGGAGCTGTGACTCACTGAGCTCTGCAAGTCCCTGAGTCGGCCCTAGGTCAACACAGCTGCATTGACACCTCTGCCTCCACAGGCCACTCGGCCCCCTGCAGGTCCTCCCAGGGAGTGAGACGTGTGCCCATTTGTACCCTTGCACCAGGCATGTCCCAAGGGGTTGCTTTCTCCCAGGCCTGGGGCTCAGCGCCCAAGCCCTAGGCAGCTCAGGCGAACTGGGAGGTAACACAGGGCTCTCCTGCTGCTCCCACCCCAGCCATCCCCTCTCCACGGCCCCAGGACTTCTTATTTTCCTGGACATTTGCTCCTGATCCTCAAGCCTTCTGAAGCAGGCCTGGCATCTTGCCACTACCTGAAAGACCACTTTGGGGCCGTCCTTGCTCCTGTGACCAGTTGTCAAGCCCAGGTCCCAGGGCAGCAGCTCGTCTGGCCTTGGGGTGCCTGCAAGCCCTTCCCTGGTTGGGATGGGAGGTTGCTGAGCTCCAAAGGCAGCAAGGCCTGAGCACCTGGCAGAGCTGGGGTGACCAAGGGAGAAGAGAGTGGCAAGATCAGCAAAGGGACCACCTGTGTGGTCGCACTGATGCTTGGAGCCCTGTTGGCTGAGGACTGGGGCCTAGGCAGTTGGCAGCCACCCTGAGGAGTCTGAGGTCCTAAGTGTCACTGGGAGGGCAAAGCAGCTGTGAGAATCTTGTCTCCTGGGCCTGCGGTGGAGAACCCAGGCCTCAGTGGGCAGCCTCTACCTGGGATTGAGCAAGGGTTCTGGGGAGACCCAGCACCTCTGTGGCTCATAGCCAGCTGTGGGGGAGGGACTACATTTATTTAACTTTTAGTAAAATCTCTAAGAAATGTATGGAAACTCGTTGCTTGTTAAGGAGTCTCCCAGCTGGGGCCTGGAGACGGGCTGACTGCGCATGCTCGCAGCTGCCTGGTGAGACTGAGGCAAGATGAGGAAGCCGGAGCGGCTACTTTGCAGGACACCCTGCTGTATGAAATCAGGTCCACAGGTGCTGGGACACTTCCTGAAGTCTTGAAGCTGGGTGAAGGGGCACTTGCAGGTAGGTGGGAGGATTCCACATGGGATGTCACTGAAAATAGTTCATGAGAATCCAGCATGATGGGGAGGGCGTGCACAACACATTCCAAGCACTGGGTACCTCCACAATTTTCTTTTTTTCATTTTGTGCTGGGGACTGAACCCAGGGCCTTGTGCCTGCTAAACATGTGCTTTTCCACTGAGCTACATCCCTACTCTGACAATTTATTTTATTTTTTTGGTACCGGGGATTGAACTCTGGGGCACTCAGCTATATCCCCAGCCCTATTTTGTGTTCTATTTATAGACAGGGTGTCAATGAGTTGCTCGGTGTCTTACTTTTGCTGAGGCTGGCTTTGAACTCACCAATCCTCATGCCTCAGCCTCCCAAGCTGCTGGGATTATAGGTGTGGGCCACTGTGCCCGGTCTGACAATTTATTTTTGATGAGTTAGTTGGCTCGGAGACATCATTGTGTATGATAAATTCACAAATGTGGAGAAAGAAAATTCTGGAGAATGGTACAAGGGGGTGGAATCTTTCCTCTTTTGCAGTTCTACCAAGCTTATGTGGGCTAGAGGGAGGAGGACAGAGGTTTCCCTGGGCCTTGGCACCTTGGGGGCTCCTTCCCTCATTTTCTAAAGACGTCTTCTACACCAAGCTGAAGAGGTGGGGGAGGGAGAGACCTTGCCCATCTCAGAGGGTGAGAGGGAGATGACAACTTTAACACTCGGCCACTAGTCTTGAAGAGCTGGAAGACTCCTTCCTGAGGCTATGGAATGTTCTGGAACCAGAGGTCCACCCCGGCCCTCCGTGGAAACATGGGGATAGGCCTTGCTGAGACTCTGGGCCAGGCCCCACACACTGTCAGGTCTGTGGGCAGAGGCTTGCCAGCCAGGTGCTCTCACGTGGAATCGTGGTCCGCCACCCTTGGGTGCCTGTCCTCAAGCTGGGGACGGCGCCCACAGACTGGTCAGTGAGCAGGCGCAGCGGCTGCGCTCTTTGCTGGTGAAAATGGCGACGCCTCGCTGGCTTTCTTTGCCTTTTTCTTCCTTTTCTTCTTTTTGGTCCCCAGTGATACCGGGTCCCCGTTGGCCCTCCCTGACTCCCTTTCCTGGGTCTGGACCGAGGTCCCGCGGGCGGGGCTGGTGGCTGCAGCTGAGCCAGCGCCCGCCCCCTCCTGGGCTTTCCTCCTCAGCCTCCTTTTCTTCTTCTTGGCCTCCGTCTCCACCTTGACAGGAACGTGGATGGCCGACTCCTGCAGAATGTCCGAGGCTGACACGGCTGCCTCCCGGCACCGCTGCCACTCCTCATCACTGTCCTCACTGCTGCAAGGGGAGGGCAGTGTAGGTCAGCTGTGGTCAGGGCAAGTCCCAAAGTCGCCTTCTGCCGCGCCCCCCTTGGTCAGAGTCTAAGATGGAGGCAGTTTGAGAGCGAGCGCAGGCTTAGGAGTGGGGCACACCTGGGCTCTAGTCTTCTCTGCCAGAAACCCTGTGACCTACACCTCATTAAGTGACTTAACCTCTCTGACCCTTAGTATCTTCATCTACAAAATGGGGATCTTAGAATCCAGACCTCACAGGGATGTCTTAGGAGGCAAATACAAGAAAATAAGGAGTCTGACCCAAAATGAGTCCTTAAAAACAGCACAGATCCACCCCAAAGAAGCCCAAAGCACCCTGCCTGCTGGGTATGCCTCTCCAGTTACCTGACAGGCCCCTTCTGCGGCCTGTTGGTCTGGCATCTGCTTCATTACACCAGGGGGACGGCCAAGACGGGAGAAGACAGGAGGGGCTGTGAGGAGAGGAGCAGGCTCTCACCTGGAGCTGGAGGGCTGGCGTTTTGGGCGGGGGCGGGGAGAAGCTTCCTCTTCGCCGCCTCCAGGGATGGATGTGAAGAAAAGCCGAAAGCCTAAGATTCACAGGGGCAAAGTCAGCGCTGCTGGATGCCAACCTCTCCTCTCCCAGGTGCTGAGGCTGATGGCCTCTGCCCTCAAGGAGCCCCTGGTGCAGAGCTGAAGTCCTGGGAGTCATCGTCATGTGACTGCAAACTGAGGCTTCATCTGAGAGAGGCCTGCTCCGTACCTGATGGGCCAGGACATGCAGTGTTTGCAGGGCGGCAGCTGCCAGATTGGGGAAGTGATCCCTCAGAAGCTCCTGGAGTCACTAGTTAAGCCTCCCAGTACCTAAGGCAGCCTCCAATGAGCTCACAGAGCTGAGCAGGGCGATGGACTCAGGGGGGAGCCTGCTCCCGCTCAGGGTCAGACAGAGGAGCTTAGTGCAGACAAGTGACTCTGTCTCAGAGCCTCAGTTCCCTGTCTGTGCCTGGGGTATCGTCACCCGCCTTAGGGCAGGGCCTGAGTGGGTGAAAGGACATACTACACCCAACCGTCTGCCCAGCTCTAGGTCACAACAGCTGCTATTCGCAGTGACTACTCACCGTCATCCTCCGGGGCCACCTTGTGTTTCTTAGCTGTCCTTGGCGCCTTCACTACCTCTGAGATGGTAATGGAGCTAAGGGGAGAGGAGACGGCTGATTAGGGTGTGATTTGGGGTAATGACAAAAGCAATTTTTGTTTTTAAATTTAAAAAACATTTATTTTTAAGTGGAGGCGATGGGGCACATGATCCTAAATGCAAAAGTGGAGACCACACTGGCTTGGTAAGAAGGCTGAACCTTCAGCCGTGACAGTGCAACAGCAATAGCCCCTTCCGATTCTGCAAGGTTTCTTTTGTTTAAACCTTACCATAATTCCAGAAAGTACTGAAGAACTTTTAAAGATACAGTACAAAAAACAAAAAAACAAAAAAAGTAATTTCAACAGGGCAGAGAAAAAAAAAATGGGAGAAGGAACAGGAATTGCCGGAGGTGTGATGAGGGAGTCTTTCCTATGTACTTTACTTACTGGAGAAAGGCCATAGATTTTGCTTTGAGCTCACTGCAGAATAGCATGGAAAGGGAAATAGGACCAGTCTAGAGAAGCGGTTCAGAGGTCAGCTTCTAGAACAGGGCAGACCTGCTCATTTTTTTCCTTTTTTTTTTTGGACCACTGAGCCACATCCCCAGACTCCTCCCCACCTTTAATTTTTTTTTTTTTTTTATTTAGAGACAGGGTCTCACTAAGTTGCTTAGCGCCTCACTAAATTGCTGATGCTGACTTTGAACTTGCAATTCTGCTCCCAAGCCTCTGGGATTACAGGTATGTGCCGCCGTGCCCAGCTTTTTCTTCATTTTAAGAGTCTGAGATAAATATAGATTGACAGGCAGTTGCAAGAAATAATAAAGATTCCAAATACCATGTAAAACTACAGTACAACATCATAACCAGGAAACTGAAATTGATACAATTCACTGACATTAGTCAGACTTCAGAGTCCTTTGCGCTTTTGTGATACTGAGGATTGAACCCAGAGGTGGTGTACCGCTCAGCTCCATCCCCAGCCCATATTACTTTGAGACAGCATCTTGCTAGATTGCACAGGTTGGCCTTAAACTCGACATCCTCCTGCCTCAGCCTTCCAAGTATCTGGGATTACAGCCACACCCCCTGCGCCCAGCAGAGGCCTGGGTTTTGGATGCTGGCTTTGTTACTTACTGCTGTGACCCTCTGGCAAACGACTCTGCTTGTCTGAGTCTCTGTCACATTTCTGTAACTGGGAGCAACAACAGTCCCTTCCTGTTAGGGCTGTCAAAAGGATCAGATGAGAAATGGATGTGGAGCCCTTGGCACAGAGCTGGCCACAGCAGGTGCTCAGGACATGGTAGCCAAGGGGGTGGGGTGGTGGAGATGATGATGTCATCAGCTTCCTAGAACCCCTCACAGAAACCAGCCACAGCTCTCTAGAGGCAGAGGCCAGGAGGTGGGTCCTGCTGTCTGCTGAGGCAGAGTCATGCCCTGCAGAACCGGCGCTCTCTGCGTGCGCTCAGTGCTTTTCCTAACTTCCCTCTGCATAAGCCACAGGCATCTCCCAAAGCCCTGTGCAGGGAAAGAATTTGGGGAGAGGGAGTGGAGATGATGCTGTCCAGGTCCTGGTCTCTGACCTGACAGAGCGGCTCAGTGTAGGTCCCTGGGTGCATGTGGCAATGCCTGGAGACACAGTTGGTTGTCATGACTGGTGGGGCAGGTGCCATTAGCATCTCCTAGGTCGAGGTCAGAGAGGCTGTTGAGCATCCTGTGATGTGAAAAGCAGCCCACAACAAAGAGCTATCCCATAGTGTCTAGGTTGAGATGCCTGATCTAATAGAAGGAACCAGCTAGGGTATCATTTAAGTCTCTTTGGAGAGAAACATGAAGCAGTACAGGGACTATTCTGGCCATGGTGACGAGCATTCTGCTGGACTGCCACCCAAGGAAGCATCTGTGCTGGTTTAATGCAAAGCCAAGCAGGTCATGCAGAAAAACTGCTCCCTCAGGCTGAGTTGCACCTGGCCTTCCTCAAGCCCCTTCCCAATCCTGGAGTTGGGGACCTGGCACCAGTGCCGTGGGGGCTCAGGCTGCTGGGCTCTGGCCCTATGCTCAACCTCACAAGAACAGCTGTTCCACCCGTGGGAAGGAGCATCTGTCGTTTTGCATATTTACTTCAAATTGAAGGACCATGGCCCCAAGTGCTCTTCTCCTTTCAAAACCTGCCAGGACTGTCAATCAGAAATGGACGAGGAGCAGCCTGCCCTTCGATGTGTTCCACAGTACATGTACTGATCTATGAGGCCAGGCCACATACTGTGGCCGAATGAGTTTGGAAAATGCAGGGCCAAGCAAATGACACAGGTTTCCCTGCCACAGCAGCTCCCGGAGCCCTGAATCCACTGTAATGACCCTCACTCTCCAGGGGCATGTGGATACATGTGGACTGCAGTGTTTCTCAAACTTCTTTGCTGTTGGATCCCTTCTTCTAGAGCTGCACTTTGGGCCAGGCCTACGGTCTGCATGTCTGTGCAGCCCTAAAATTTCTATGTTGAAACTGAAATCTCAAGGTGATGGTGTTAGGAGGTGAGGTCTCTAGAGGTGCTTAGGCCACGGGCCTGGGACTCTCATGAATGGGATTCATGCCTTTGCAAAAGAAGCTTGAGAGAGAGACTGCCTGTCCGTTTCCGCCACGTGAGGAGATGGTTAGAAGGTGCCATCTGTCAACTAAGAAGAGGGCCTCGCTAGACACTGAGTCTGCCAGTGCCTTGATCTTGGACTTCCCAGTATCCAAAATGTTTATAAGCTACGTTGTTTATGGAATTTTACTACAGTCGCCTGGATGGACTAAAATAGGTAGCATTCTTGGTACTCGCTTTGGGAATGCCAACCTGATTCTTTAAAGGCTAACCTTTCTTTTTATTTATTTTCTATTTTTTTCTAAACAAGTATGTTTATTTGAATAAAATGAAGCGAATGGATATTAATTTTGGGGTCAATCGTTTTCTTTTCCTCAATTCCTGCTTCTCCTCAGGGTTCCTCTTATCCCATGACAGCAGGATAAGGCAGGGGTAACGAACACTTTAACCGTGAAGTCACACGCAGCTGGGTGAGGCCCATCTCTGCCCCTTGCTCCCTGTTACCTCAAGAAAACACATCTCCTTGCTGACAGCCTGCTTCCTCACCGGGGGTAAGGACATCAGCATGACCTATGTGACGTGTTGCTTATGAATGCACTGAGGAGACCAATGCCATATGCCTGCTCAGACTTCCCGAGCTCCCAGCCAGTGTGCCGCTGCACTGGTGTCTACGTACACTTTGGCTCACCTGTCCAGAAGGGCTCCCAGCTTCTTGGCTATGTGGGCTCGGAACTCGGGGGTGGTCTGAAGTTCGTTGCCATCTTGTTCGTGCTCATCCACTTTATGCCTGTGACAGACACAAAAGAAGCTCATTTCCTGCTGGCCCAGGAGTCGCCCCATGGGGCAGAGACTCCCCGCATCCATCTCACTCTGACGACCAGACTAGCATCTAACCCAGCAGCAGGCAGTATCTGCCGATGAGTTGAGGGAACTGCTCTACTGAGGGCGCAGTACCTGAGGCTCAGTCGGGGGGCTGGCAACTTGTTATTTGCAGCATCTGTGGAAAAATGAAAATTGAGGAATTAGAGGCAACAACAATAAAAACATCTATTTGTGACAGGGACTTTTTAAAGTGATTTACATGTGTGACTAGTGAATCATCTCCAAGCTCCATTAGATAGATTACCATTATCCCCACCTGAAGAGGGAGGGAGATTCAAGGAAAGGTAAAATTAGCTTGGGCAGCATCTAACAGCCAATTTAACAGAGCTGGGAGGGGACACAGGCCACCTGGCTCCAGAGGCCCCTGTCAACCACTGTGCTGAACAGGCAAGTCTAAGTGTAATTTGTATAATTTGTTAAATGCCTACTACTTGCCTGGTTGTGTGCTAAGTGCTGCGGGACAAGATGGAAGAAGATGGCTCTTTGTGCTGATCGCATGTTTCAAGCCAAAACACTGGGACTGTCTGGCCTGGTGGACATTCACTCAACCAAACACCTGCTGCCTTTTAATCACCAGGTCTCTCAGTTGCTGAACAACTGAGAGGCTATTCCTGTTTCCATGCAATTTACATTCTAGACAGATAACAAACATGTAAAAACTCACTATAAAATTGGATAATGGCCAGTAAATTAAAAAAACAAAACAATGCAGAGGAGAGAGGTGGGGTGGGCTGTGCTGGGCAGGGGGGGGGAGGGGTCACTGTATAAAGGTGGGCAGGGACAGTTTCTCTGATAAGGTAACAGTGGAACAGATATCAGAGAGGTAAGGGAGTGAACCAAGTGGATACCTGGAGAGAGCCTTCCAGGCAGAGGGAGGGGCATCTGCAAAGGCCCTGAGGCAGGAACTGTCTGGAGTATGAGAACCGGCAAGAAGGCCAGTGTGGCGGGGACCCACCCAGCCAGCAGGGGCCCAGTAGAGATGAAGAACTCCTGGGGGTCGCATCACAGAGGGCCCCGTGTGGGTCAATGTGAGGATCTGGGCTTTGAAGATGAGCAGCCACTGGAGGATTCTGGCCAGAAGGGGGACATAAACTGATATAGATTTTTATATAACATCTGTGGCCACTGTGAGGAGTGAGATCAGAGTGGGGCAAGGGCAGATGCAGGGAGTCCCCTGCAATGATTGGGAATTCCTGATACACACGGTTTCAAGGTGGAGTCCATAGGATGTACTGATGGACTGGACGCAGGTGTCAGAGATGAGCACAAGACAGCTCGGAGGCTTCTGGCATGGATAATGGGACAAAATGGGCTTGTGCCTTTAAGGAGCCAACTGAGCAAAATGGATGCGTGGCACCAGGTTGGGTGTAGGGGTACAGTGTGTTAAACAACTCCGGCGGCCCTGCTATGCCTATGCCGTGGTATAGTCACATGTGTGTGTGATTGCAGGCACCCCGTGATCTGTGCTGATGTGCCCTAGAGCACACCGAAGCTGCAAAAAGTGCCTGATGCTCCTAGAGGAGAGTGTGTGGAGCCCAGCGGGATGTCTTTACAGGCACAAGAGGAAGACCATCTCTTGCCATGAACGAGAGAGGAACTGTCAGGTCCTGCCACGGAACACAGCAGTACTCACCTCTCCAGGGAGGCAGCTCAGTGGAGTCCTGGCTCTGACACTAACAAGCTGTGTGACTCTGGGCAAGACACTTTATATCCCTGAGCCTGTGTTCTCCTCATCTACTATGGGGTAAGATCACCCACCTTCCAGAGTTAGTGTTATGGACATGCTGCATGTTCATCTTCTTGCATTTGAAACACAGGGTTTGTTATTATTATTATTTTCTTTCTATTTCTATCTCCTAGGACTGTGCTTTGATTTGGAATAAAAGTTGTACAAATCAATCAAAGTATGTAATTGGTGCCCCTAAATTTAAGTGGTTTGAAGGTCTGGTGACCTGTTCCTCATCACTACAGTTAAAAGCTGTATCTGAAGGCTGCACTCATAGAACAGTGACTTACATTTCCAAATGATCAGAGGCCAAAGGGTGAGAGTTTAGTCCACAAAAAACACTTGTCTGTGGCAGGGAGTGACATACCAGAGAAACAGAACATGGACCTAGAGTCTGAGCGGTCTAGATTTACACCTGGGTCTGCACTTTCACAAGGCAAGTGACCTTGGCCAAGGTACTTCACCTTCAGTTTTTTCATTTATAAACTGAGGCCGATAATACCCTGTTTATAGAAGTGCTGGAAAGATTGAACCAGACAATACAAAGTATGTAGAATAAGAGCACACGGGGCTGGGGTAGAGCACTTGTCTAGCACAGGTGAGGTGCTGGGTTTGATCCTTAGCACCCATAAAAATAAAATAAAATAAAATAAAATAAAGGTTACTGTGTTCACCTACAACTAAAAACAAACATTTTTTTTTTAAAAAAGCACACATTATGGTGACATTATTATTAGAATTGCCCAAGACTGTCTAAGGTCCAGCATCTTGCCTGGCACATAGTAGGTGCTCAATAAAGAAAAGTACTTATTATTAGCACCTACATGTATTTTCATAGCAGAGAATTTTTCTCCTCCTGGTACTGGATTGGAACTAGGGCCTTGGACTTGCTAGTCAGGTGCTTTACTCCAGAGCCAGCTCCCCACCCCCCTTTTATCTCCTGAGCCAGGCTGTTTTCAAACTTGTGATCCTCCTGCCTTAGCCTCTAATGCAGCTGGGAACAGGTGTGCACCATGACACCCAGCCTAGCAGGGGATTTATAATGTCACAAAAACAATGAATTGAAAAGCTGGTACCTTGCATACCACTTCTCAGGTGTTCATCTCTTACTACTGCCCACAGAAACCCTTTAGACTGGGAGTTGGCTGTAATCCCGGCCTCTCTCATCAGTGAGGTGCCCATTGTGCGAATTCATTTATTCGAGCCCTGTGCTAAAGTCCTGGGAATACCATGGTGAAAGAACAGGCCATGAAGTTCATATCACATAACCTCTCAATAAGTATTTGTGCAGCAAATATTGGCTAGGGATGCAGAATTAAAGGAGAAAAAGATAAGACAAAAAAAGAGGTAAATTGCAGGAAAAGATGAAAGTACTATTTACAAAGGGAATCACACAAAGAATGATGGGGGACACACAAGGCAGGTAACCCCAACTTGAAAGACTGAGAGAGCTTTCCCAAAGTGGTTTTGTCTCGTTACATTAAAGGATGAGCAAGAGTTAAGTCTGGGGGAGAGGCAAGCAGTCCATGTACAGAAATCAACCACACATTTGCCACCATTTACCGGGCCTTTCCTATGTGCCAAGCACTGCAGATGCATCATCTCAGTAACTTCCCAACCTTATAAGAGGAAATTCAGGTACAGCAGGATGTAAACAGCATGCTCAAGTTCTTACTGCTAGTGAGTGGAAATGGAGACAGAGAAGCAGATTTGTCTACCAAAACTGCAGGAAAAACTGCAGTTCTCCGTGTTCAGAGGTAAATGGGTAGGGTGTAGTTTGGCCTCTACCTGTGGGAAGTGGAGAATGGCAAGAGCACTAGGGAGAAGCAGGCAGGGAATGGGTGACCAAATATATGGATTTTAACCTTTCTTTGCTTTGGTTTTCTTTTTTTAATTTTATTTACTTATTTAGTTAGTTGTAGTTGGACATAATATCTTTATTTTATTTGTTTATTTTTATGTAGTGCTGAGGATCCAACCCAGAGCCTCAAACGTGCTAGGCAAGCCCTCTACCACTGAGCCCCAGCCCCAGCCCTTTGCCTTAGTTTTCTTTAGCAGCACCATGAAGCCTGGATCCCTTCTCAGAATGGTTCTGGTCATAAAATGCAACATACTGACTCATGGAAAACCCCAATAACGCTGAAATTTAGCTCTCTTAATAGTAAACAACCAAATTTTTTATATTAATGCATATTTTTTTAATTAATGCAGATCTTTATTAAATAAGATCTAGTAATGGGTCTAAAATTCACTGTTTTTTAAAGCAAGGGGATGAGTATAAATGACCTCTTTCCAACATAATGTGAATAAGAAAAATATTTCGATATATGGACAAAGATTGCAATGCAATTCGAAAATCTGGTGATTCATGTTGTAACAAAGTAACAGGTATCGTCAAAGCAACTGTGACTTGTTGCTCATGCACATGACGGAAAGAGCTGCTACATTTTAGTTAGGGGTTAATGCAAATAAAGATACAATATTTTTTTTTTCCACTTCAAATACAAGGACCCTAAGGATTCTAACCACGATTATGTTGAGGGATTTCAGATTTATCCCCAGGGCACTAGGGAGCCCCCGTCACACAAGGACTGAGAGACGTGGACAGAGCTTGCAGGCATCCAGAGGGTAGGGAATGCACTGCAGGCGCGGAAAGGCTGGGCGCGAAAATGAAGGGAGCAGGGCTGCTAGTCCTCTCAGAGAGGAGGCTGTAAGGATGTCCCGCAGAAAATGCAGTCGAGAGACATTGAGGTGTCTCAGTTTCTCCCGCTGGGACCACGGAACGACCCTCCCTACTGCACCTAGAAAGAGGACTCCCTCCCCACCACCCATGCTCTCAGGTCCTAAGGGAAGAACTCACGCCCCACGGAAGCCTCCCAGAACACACCCCCTACCGGCTCGTGGTTTCTCTGCTCCCCGCGGGCGCTGCTCCAGGTCCCAGGCCGACATCGCAGCCTCACGGCACCGCGCCAGCTCCTCCTCCTCGCTGCTGCTACTACTCTCTGAATCCCTCACGGCGCCACCGGGGGCCGCCATCTTGGGCTACCGCAAAGGCTCGCGGGAACGCCTCTATTGTGGACCCGCCCACAGGGCCCTACGTGAGGGTGGAGAAGCGCAGGGCATTATGGGGATTGTAGTCTTCAGATTCAGGCACGCTGTGGGCCCGGAACTGTCCTAGAAGGTGGAGGCTGTCCTCCAACGTGAGCGCGTGAAGAATCCAGGAGATGAACTTCTCCAGTCTTGTCTTGATGAGAAAAATGAGACCCACAAGGCTGAAGGGAATTGCCTGAGGTCACACCACATTCCAACCACGTTCAGGTTTTGATCCCATGTAGTTTAGACATTATTTATTTATTCCAGTAATTTCTATGTCCATCTGTGGGCATAGAAATTACTGGAATAATTTCTTAGGGAACTTGTTAAACTGTGGGGTTTCTAATTCTAACTGAACTAGAATCTTTTATCAGATTTGGGGCCCAGAAATACCTTGGGGCCTTGCTGCTGAGAGCTTAGTTCATGGCCCCAGTAGCAGCAGAATTCTTGGGAGCTTGTTAGAAATGCAGAAAAGTCTGGCTTCAACACTAACCTTCCAGATCAGAATCTGCATTCTGAGAAGCTCTTCCTGTGATTTGTGTGTAAAATGTGAGATGTATTGTCCTGGCTAATTCAGATGGGAAACTCGGTAGTTTTCCAGCCCAGGACTTTTCAATCAGTATTTTAAAAAAATACTGATTCCCAGCACTGACCCAAGACAGACAAATAAGAATCTCTGTGTCTAAGATATTCCGCGGGTGGAAGATAAAACAAAATAAGTTTTGTCTTTTTGGAATGCTTTGTTTATCTCTTAGGATGAGTGTGTCAAAACATCATTCAAACAGATTCTCTGGCCTTGACTTTTCTATCAAAAAAAGAAAGAAAGAAAGGTAACTGCTATGATCAGAATGTTTGTGTCCCCCAAATTCTTGTATTGAAATCCTGACCCCCCAAGGATTTCAGGAGGTGGGGCCTTTGGAAGGTGAGTAGGTCATGAGGGGCAGAACCCTTATGATTGGGATTAGTGGCCCTCATGAAAGAGACCTCCTCCTCACTTCATCCACCATGTTGTTAAAATTAATTAGTTGTTTATTTTAACATCTCTTCCACCATGTGAAGACACAGTGAGAAGCTGCCATCTAAGAACCAGGAAGAGGTCTTTACCACATAGCAAATCTGTTAGCACCTTGATCTTGAATTTCCCAGCCTTCAGAACTGTGAGAAATAAGCATTTGTTATTTATAAGCCATTGAGTTCATGGTATTTTGTTAGAGCTACGAAAATGAATTGAGACTGATTTATTCAATAATTCATTCATTCATTTATTTCTTTTCGGTACTGGAGATTGAATCCTGGGGTACTTAACCACTGAGCCACATCTTCAGCCCTTTTTAAATATTTTAAAGACCGTTTCAATCCTGAGGACTCAAATTTGAGAGGTTCAAATGATTAAATAATACCCATTAGGACGGCATCAGCACCTGTGGAAATGAATGACCACCCAAATGAGAACAGAGGTTGTTTATTCCCAACTTTCAGGCACCATCCTTTGCCTTCCACGGAGACGCAGAACAGGCAGGAGAATGGGAAAACTTTACAGTGAACCTGATAAATGATGAAGGCTTCAGGCATAGCCTGATCAAGCTGGTTGTCGCTGGGAAGTTGTAGGTGCCAACTACAAGCAGACTACCTCTGTGATTGGTTTGGGGAGCTCATTTGGTTTTCTTTGGTTGGTCCTAAATGGAAAGTGAGTTCTAGGTGGCGTGGGAAATTAGAGAAACTGGCAGTGATTGCCTTAGTCCTGGACTTGGTTCTCCATTGGCTGCTGTGGAGGCTGTGGGTCAGAGTTTTACTGTCACATAGGATCTGGCCATGGGCCATTTGTATATTTAGTCTCTCGCACCTCTTCCCCTCCCCTACTGGCAGGGCCAGTACAGGTGTTGACAAAGTCGGTGAAGATGTGGGACGGGGTCTGGATTAGAAGACAGAGATGCAGACAGAGAAGCTTCCCGGAGGAAACTAGCAGGAGGGAAACCGGGCTTCTCCTGCCTTCTTCTGGGACAGAGTGAGCGTGTCGCTGTCTCCGACGCCGTAGTAGCCCAAACTGAACCAGTCCTGCAGGACCTGGCCCCGGAACTCGAGGCGCTGCAGCTCCCGGAGCAGCCCCTGCCGGTCCTCGATCTGCTCCTTCAGGCTGCGGACCAGGTGGGAGGGCTGGGCGGCGTAGGCGTGGCTCCCACCGTCCCGGCTGCTCACGAAGACCTGGATCTCGGGGGAGACGGTGTCCAGCAGGCAGACGCTGGTGTGGGAGAAGATCCCGTAATAGGCCAGGGAGCAGTGACTGCGCAGCAGCTGCCGCTCGCCCCCGGGCTCCTGGAAGGACAGGCGCTGGAGACCCGCGCAGCCCCGGCTCCGTCGGATCTTCTCCTTCATCTTCTTTATGGTCGCGTAAGGGTTCACCCAGAGGACGAGATCCGAGCAACCCCACTGCTGCACCGTCACCTGGATGTCTCTCGCTGCCTGCAGGGAGGGGGAGGGGAGAGGAGAG